TTATGTAATTGGTAGCGGGTGAAAGTGAAAAAATTCCCTTGGTTTTAATACATGTAAGTTAAAGTATTGATAATCCAACAAATAACACTCGCGCAGTGTTGTGCTGCTTCTACATGTGTAACTCAAAACCTGCTCGTCGCTTTACTGCCCTGTAACATCTTTGATTTGCTGTTAATATCAAATTTGTATGTTATACTGTGTCGCCCACATTTTCTCGTTTCAACATACAGAACTACAATAATATCAAAAATCGGCTCAAGCGTTGCACATGTACCTGTGACTCTTGTAGAGCGGAAAATTCATCATCTCCCGTTCTTGGTTGGCCAAAAGTCACCAACTTTACTTGTTGCGGTGTTGCAAAATCAGCTCCCAAAATGTACGATGCTGCCAAAGATGCCATTGAACCTCCAAGAGAGTGTCCAGTAATCTAAAAGTACGTAATGTTGAAGCAAAGATCCTCGTGGCGCGGTTACTCATACCCATATATCATAGTCGGGTTTTTTGTTTATCAGATCGATCACGTCGTAACCCATACCACCATTCCATAGACTGGTGAATGCATCTGCGAAATACTTAGAAACGCATCCTCCAAAGAGCCAGCGATACTAAATCATCTATTTAGAATAAAAATTGAATATATCGTACTTATAATATTGCTGGAATGACCATATTTGCAAACATACCCATTTCTTGAACACACTTTTTGCCTGTTCAACTAGTTGTTGTGTCCTTGTCGTTCCCCTGAACAATTGTTTTCCAAATCACAAACACTATTTTCAATGTTAGGAACAAATTGATCTAAACATTTAGGAAACATATAATAATTACATATGAAACCATATAACCTAAAAAAACTTATTCCTTTTTTTTTCATAATCACAATTATCACTACTGTCTGTAGAGTATACCAAATAAACTGCAAAAATTTCATTGTCAACTCGTTAATCAATAGTTACGGCCATAGGTGTCGCTCTAACGCCACAGTTGAAGTGACGCACTTGATTCCATCTCACTAGGCCATTCTAATAGACTTCATGCTCTAACTGAAATCATGCTGGATATAGCATAGCTACTA